GTGAGTAAACAGTGGGAAATAATTCCTTCCTTTATGAGACTCACTTGTGAGCATTGAGCAGCCCGGCTAAAATCAATCGCGTTTATTTTTCAGACGGAGAAATTACAGGTTCCTTGAGCTTCAGGGCCCGGCAATTCATCCTTGTATTTTAAAATTTTATGTTTATGTTTATGGGCTGCCATTAGGTGTTATGGATCCAGGCTGAGGTTGGTTTTTTTCATTAGCTTAACTCATTTCCCTTATTAGTTCACATTTATAGCTGGAGTTTAATAAGCACACGGGGCAGAAGTCATAAAACAGCCTTCTTCTTTCACAATATTTTAAAACCAAGACTCTTCCCTGAGTCATCCCAGGTCTGTTTGCTCGTAACTTCCTTCTCCTAGGGCTTCGGGCCCAGCCCGGCTGATCCTAGCCAGTTACATGACCTTGAACTTTAGCACAAAGGGCACTGCTGGTTAAGAAAACCAAAAGTCCATTTTTAAAAGCAAGCATTGGACTCTCGCTGAATTCCGAGTGCTTCTCAGATGCGATCTGGTTGAACCCCACGTCCCTATCAGGGGGCGGTATTTTTTTCCACTTTGCAGAGGGCAAACAGGCCAGGGAAGAGAAGTAACTTCTCAGAAGCCACACAGTTGGCGGCAGTGCAAAACTGGAATGCACACCCAACACATCCCATCCAGTCATCACCCCCTTCACACACCCACCTCTCCCGCCGTCCCTTTATCTCACCCTCCACCCCTCCTTCCGTTCTCTCATCATCTCTTTGCACTTGCCCAGGCTCCTTGCTGCTTTCAGTCACACACCTCTGCTCTGTGACCGTCAGTGGCTCCCTTGCCTGTCGATAAAGCCCATCATCCTAGGTCTGACCTCCATGGACCTCAGCCATTAGCCCTTGCCCCCCGCTCCTGCCTTGTTTCCCACTCTGCCACAGCAGACAGCCTTGGCTCCTGGTGTTGAATACTCACCCGTGTGAGGCACCTACGTGCCTTTGCTTACCCAGTCTCTGCCCACAACGCCCTCCTCCCAGCCCACACACTCAGATCTGCTCCTGCCTTTGAGAAGCCATCCCTGGTCTGCTCTCTCTTCTGAACTCACAACTATGTGATGAGCCCTTGCTACATCCGGAGACATTGGGCTACCCCCAAAGGTCTAATTTTTGCTGGGATGAGCCTCTGAGCACCAGATATACAGCAGGCATTCAGTTAATGCTCCCAAGTGAAGGAAGACTTGTGGTCCCCAAGACTCCAGGACACAGGACTCTTTTCTTCTCAATTAAATTTGGGGCCAGCCCTGTCCAAACTCTGGGAAAAACTGTCCCAGTTGTCAACCATCAGCAGTCCACACTTCTGTCTCTCTCCCTACCTGCTTTCCTGTCCCAGAGTTGTTACAGTCCTCCTTGGTCAGTGATCCAAACATAAAACTGCTGACCTCTCTTCTCCTATCCACACTTAGTTGCCCTGGGCCCATTCCCTGCTCCTTGCTGCTGAAGGAGCTTCCTGGTTTCTGGTGGGTGAACTCCAGCTGTGGTGTGAACAATGAATGATAAAATCAGATATCACAGGCTCTGCACAACTATATTAGAGTGTGGCAGTTCTCAGTTTTAGAGAACTCTAAACTTGGGTAAACTCAAGCCAGGTGTTGTAGGCACGCCTGTGATCCTGTACTCTGGGAGGCTGAGACAGGAAGAGCCAAAGTTCCACCCAAGCCCAGGCAATTCAACAATTTAGCAAGATCCTGTCTCAAAATTAAAAATAAAGGGCTGGAGTGTGAAGACTTTGGGTTCAATCTCCAGTAACACACACACACACACACACACAGGGGAAACTGAGGCGGGGGCAGAACTGTGGAAAGGGATATTGGTCTAATCCTCTGTCAAGGCTCTCTTGGCTTATCCTGGCCTCAAACTGCACCCCATCAACAGTCAGTTTGGTCACCAGGAGGCCGCACAGGCATACAGAGCTGAGTTCCCGGCCCTGATCTCCCAGCTGCTGGTGCAAGGCAGGCGCCTGGTCACTGGCCTTGGCCTCGGAATATGCCTGTAGGGTCCATTCCCCAGCTGGGCAGTGTCCCGAGGGACCACAGAGGAGGGGAACCAAGGACCATGCCAGGCGGAGCCATGGTGCCCGCAGCAGTGAGCCCAGGCCTAAGGAGCGAGTGGCCCGGGGCCGTGGTGCTGGCCGGGCTTCCTGGGCTGCCGTGGGATGATGTGGGCCTGTGACTGCTACTCCCAGCCCACACTGCTCCCTGCCACATCCTCCCCACCTGCTGTTTCTGTGACTGAGCAACACACAGTCAGGCTTAGGACCACAGACGTACAAACACTGACCCCACGCAGATGCAGGGCGCTCACCGTTGCGAGCTGGCTCGCACTCTTGTGTGCACACACTTGTGACACACTTCTGAGTTCTCTATCTTACGGTCAGTTTTAAGCCTGGTGTGGTGGTGCATACCTGTAATCCTAGTGCTCTGGAAGGCTGAAGCAGGGGACCCCAAGTTCAAGCTCAGCATGGGCAACTTACCAACTTAGTGAGACCCTTTGTTGATCCGTCAGTCAATCCATCAATAAAGGGTTGGGAGGTAGCTTATGCAAAGGTCCTGCATTCAGTTTCAGTGTGAAAGAGAAGGAAGGTAGGTAGGTTTGGGGCAGCATCCTGCACTGATGAGTGTCTGCCCTCAAACTGAATGTGGGTTCACATCTACTCTGTCTCCAAAGGAGGGTAGCACTGTTGGGCTTCTGTGGGGAATGGCACACATAGGAAACACGACCAGGCTTTCCCAGCTCGCTCCTGACCACACCTCCTGCCCCTGGGCATCTCTGTGCTTCTCCTTCCTGGAGTCTTTGTCCGAAGCACCCTTCTCTGGCCTCCACACGCCCTTCCACCCCACAGGAAGCCTCCCGGCCCAGGGCTGTAGGGGAGGCGCCTCCTTGGGCCTCTGTCCATGAGCTGTTGTCACATGCTTCAGGGTGGACACCGAGGGTCTGCAGAGGCTGGGACTTGGCCCAGCATCCCTTTCACAGACGCTGGGGAAGAGGCCCAGAGAGGCGGGCACAGCTGCACATCCTGCCGCTAAAGCGGTCTCATCTCCATTGCCACCTCTTTCCCGAAGCTGTTTGTCTCTCTCTGTCCCTTCCGAAAAAGCTGGGGACCCCCACGGCCACCCCAGTTCGCACATGTTGGCTGCCTTCTGGTGGAGAGAGCACTAATGACATTTGCATCTCGCTGGCTGGCAGCAGAAGTTGGGGGCTGCGGTGGGAAGTCCTGCAGGCAGGGTGGGACTGAGATGGTTCAGGACAGGGAGGAGTGGCTGCTGGCGTTTGGATCCTGCGTCTGGAGACTTGCAGGGACACGGGCATCTCCCAGTCCTGTGCTCACTTCACCTTGCGTGTGAGCACACACACATGTGCACGTGCATGACGGTCTTCTGTCACCTTCCTAGCATTTTTTGAGCAATCTTTAGGTGCCAAACACTCCTGTGGGCTTCACGCTTTGTGAAAGTCACCTTAGCCCTAGCAGTCTTGGGGGAAGATGCTGCTGTTTGTCCTGTTTTACAGATGAGGAAACTGGCAGCCCAGGGGACTCGACTTACCTGGGGCCACACTTCTAGAAAGATGTGGGCTCTGCACATGGCCGAGGTCCCCCACCTCTACTGTCCATGCTCCTGGCCACTGTGGTTCTCCCCTCACCCCTGCACCTTGTCCTGGCTCAGCCACAGCCAGGAAGCATTTCTGCTAGGGGCCGGGACAGGATAGAAGGGATCCAACAATACCCCCTGACAATGCGCCCGGGGTTGCAGGGCTGATGGCTATGAAGGAGGCACCCACTGTGCCACCAACTTGCTACATGACTCGGGCCAAGTCACTACCCCTCTCTGCGCATCGGTTTCTTCATTGGTAAAAAGAGGCCACTGGAGCCAGGCAGGGGGGTATACATTATAATCCCAGCACTCTGGAGGATTGCAAATTCAAGTCTAGTCTGGGCAACTTGGTGACTTAGACCTCGTCTCAAAATACGAAGTTTAAAAAGGCTGGGGATGTAGCTCGGTATGAAGACTGAAAAGGTGAAGCAGTTGGTTCATCTGGCTGGAGCGGCCCAGGAATGTACTGTCATAGGTGAAGGAACTTCCCTCCAATAGACTCAAACTGTGACATCTCCTCCCACTCAGTCAGACATAGAAAGTTACATTTTCCATCAAAGCTGCCCCGCCCTGGGCGCCAAATGTAGGGAACAGGGAAAGGGGACGTTACTAGAACCTCTGTAGTTAAGTCCTAGTCTCCTATGAGCCACGACAGCACAAGGCGAATTCAGTTATTTTACAGGAAAGACAGGAAAAATGAGACTGAGAAGAAGTGAGCTTTGGGCCTGATCAGTGCTGCTCTGGGCGCAAAGCGGGAGGCCCCAGGGTTTACCTCACCTGAATTCAGCACTCTGGGAGAAACAGATGTAACAGGCGACTCAGGGGGCAGCAGAAATCCTGGAACAATGAGGAGCTGTGCACAGGAAGATCTGGTTCCTCCCAGGATGTCTCCAGCTGGTGTGGTCCTGCAGTGGGGCATCCCAGCATCTCGGGACCCTGGAAGTCTTAGCTGTGACCGGAGGTGAAGATGGAGTTCTGTCTCGACATGTCCGTAGCTGGCCTGCTGACAGGAAAACTAGGCCCGAATCATGATTTTCTCCCCAAAATTATATAGAATTGCTCCCCACAGTGAGGCATTTGTCAAGTTCCCCACCCCCTTCTAAAGGGCACATTGCTAGAGACAGCAGGTGTGAGGCACCCACCCAGTCAGAGCTGTTTCTGGGCTGGTTCCTCCAGGACCTTGTGCTGGCTGGGTCCTGATGCTGAGCAGGCCCTGGGCTGCTGTGCCTTTCCTCCTCTTCCTCCTCCCGAAGGGCGCGGGGGCCATGGAGAGGAGAGCACCGCGCGTGGGAAAGGGAGACCAGCAGACTGGGTTGGTGGGATCCCCTCCCAGGCCGTCAGAGCCCTTCTGTGTTTCCCAACAGGTGGGCACCCCCTGGACGGCCTCGTGCCTCAGGGCCCAGTGTGAGCCTCTTGAACACGATTTCTAGAAGAGCGGCCACACCCTTGCTGGACTTCGGCACCACTGCCCAGGTAAGAGCTTCTGGGCTTGCTCAGCGTGGGGTTTTCCCCTACTTTTGTTGAGCCCATTGCTGTCACTAAGCATAGTCATCCGCATGGCATCCTGTACTTCTAAATCATGGCCCTGCCGGAGCAGGAAGGCCCAGTGACCAAGACTTTAAAGTTCAACCGACCTGGGTGCAAGTCCTGCAACCACCGATTTCCGGCTGTGGCCCAGGAAAGGTTCCTCGGCTCTCTGCGTCTCCACGTCCTTGCTGGTCCAATGAGGGGCAGGACCACTCAGCGCTTGGGTTTGTGGGAAAGATACAGTGCAGGAATAGAAGGAAGGACCCTAGACCCGGTCGGCATGGTGAGCTGGGAGCTCAGTAAGTGGCAGCTGTTGGTGGGAGCACTCCTAACACTCACGACAGTCCCTGTGTGTGGCTTCTTGCATTGATGGCCGTTCCCCCTGCACTCACATGGAGACACCACAAGGGCCGGGATCTTGTCTGTCTTGTTCTCAGGCAGATCCCCACATCTCAGCACAGGACACTGGCCCATTATTCACTGAAGGAATGAATAGTGAATATGTGAGTGACAGTGCTTTACCTATATTAGGAGGAATCCTTAGAACGATTTTTGTGTGTACCTGCATGCACGACCAGAAGGGATTGGTCATGTGTGACAAAACCCAAAACAATGTTTCCTTCAGCAACACAGAGGTGGCTTTTTCTCTTAAGTTAATTCTCAGCCAAGGCGTTTTATGATAGAACCAGGACCCAGGTTCCTTCCGTCTTGGGGCTCCATCTTCCCTGGTCTGCGTTATCCCCATAGCCCCCTTGGCATCTCCATTCTGGCCAGCAAGAGGGAGTCAGGAGTGGAGAGGATGCTGCTCCCCCCTACAAGGACACACAGATGTAGTCCATTCACATCGTATTGTTAGAACGTAGTCACGAGGCATCCCTAGCCACAGGGAGGCTGGGAGCTGTAGTCTTTTACTGGTGGCCACCTGTCCAATTACAATTCTTTTATCACTGGGGACCTTCTGCCTTGCCAGGAAAGCCCATCCCTGATGCATTTTTAGTTTTCCCTGCCTTCTTCTCCCTGGCAACCAGTGATCTTTTTGTTGCCATTATAGCTTTGCCTCTTCCAGAATGTGACAGGTGCAGAAGGCAGCCTTAGAAACAGGGTTCTTCACTTAGCAGGAACATCAAAAGGTTCTCCATGTCTTTTTGTGGCTTCTTTGCTGAGTAATATTCCACATCTCATGTGCCACATTTGATCTTCTCAGAGAAGGGCATCTTAGCTGCTTCTAAGCTTTGCCAAGGATGAATAGAGCTGCTATGCACATTCATGTGCAGGTTTTTATGCGGACTTCGGTTTTCCACTTCCAAAGTATCTTCCACACACCCTGTGTACCCTAGCCATGAGCCAGAAAACTGTTGCTTCACATCCTCCCTAGCAAATGGCACTGTCACTTTTGTGGATTTCGTCCTTCTAGGAGGTCGGTCATGGTACAGTCTCCGTTTTAAAGTGGATACGGTGGGTGAGAGACTCAGGACCTCTTCATGGCCTGCTTGACATCACAGCTGGGACTCCCTGCCACACCCTGCAGCCTCTCTCTCTGGCAGGTGCCCCTGCAACCATGAACCGATCCCTGGGTGACCTGTCCCACATGAGGCTCAAGAGTGACTGAATCCCAGGACCCTGGCAGTTTGGTGTCTGTCTCCTCATGTATGCAAGGGCCCTGACCAACACTTGGGGTAGGGACAGAGGGACTGCAGCTGAACTAACTTTGCAGAAGTCTCACTAGTCAGCGAAACAGCACCCACAAGGCCAGAAAGCTGCAAAGCCTGGGGGTCCCACAGGCCCCTGTAAGAAAGGCTGGAGCTGCTGCCCAGGGAAGCAAGAACCAGTGATGGGTCGCAAGCAACGGTGATCAGAGGCCTGCCAGGGGTCATCCATCCTGAGGCCAGATGCCGCATGGCCTGGGAGCCTACACTCAGCCCAAACCTCATTAAGCAAGACAGCAATGCCTAGTGGCGACCTCAGATTGATTGATTGCAGAGTTTGTGACCATCTCCACCAATCCCTGCGAGCTAGAGGACAGAACATGCTGATTGGCTGGGCAGAGTGGGGAGTGTGTCTTGTCATGGGAAAGTCAACTGGAGCATCTGCCAGGGGAGGTTCCCTGAAGGGGAAACCTAGGTATTTTTTTCAGAAGAGAGAGGGCTGCTGGGTGGGCCAAGTAGCAGGTGTTCCCTATGGGTACCATAGAGGGTGGGGGGCTTCCTGTGATTCAGTCCCCTGGTTGATCTCCCTGTGACAGTTTTTAGTGCCTCGTTTTTAGTGACTCTGGTTTTACACATACACACTCCATATCCGCAGTGTTACGGGGGGCATCTGCCTCCCCAAAGGACTGCTCAAAAGCCTTTCTTGTGGGCATCTGTGCTCCCTAGTGCTACCCCCCATTCCAACACCCCAGTATTTGGCAGCCCTGGGTTGACCTCCTGCCAGGGGGATCCCCCAGCCCAACTCCCTCCCTGCCTCTTTAGGGTTCATCTGCCCGGCACAGCCCCCCAGATCTGTAACAGCCCTTCCTCGAGGGCCACTCTAGTCCAGGCAGTGCTGAGGTCCAGAGGGAGGGAGGAGAAGGAACATCGGGTGCAGCATCCAGGCCTGCAGCCCCGGCGTCTGCCTCACCGCTCTGATACCCATGAGGTATGGCTCATGATTTCATTTGAGGAAAGATTGCCATGCAGGAAAACAGGGAAAACCACAGCTGCGGCCAGGCCCTTTGGAAAATCTGTCCTGGGCTTGGTTTTGATCAACCACAAACCTATGGCCCTCTACCAACTCTCTCTCTCTCTCTTTCTCTCACTCTGTCTCTCCCCCTTTGATGCCACAGCTTGGAGTCCCCAGATGCCAGCTCTGTCAGCTCCCCCTGCCTGCCCAGTGTGTCCTCTGTGTTTAGTTTTGTTTTATTTTGTGATACTGGGAATTGAACCCAGAATCTTTGCACTTAGCTACATCCCCTGTTCTTTTTTATTTTGAGAGTCTTGCTGTGTTGTTCAATTGCCCAGGCTGGGGTGAAACTTGCAATCCTGCCTCAGTCTCCCAGAGTGCTGGGAGTACAGGTGTGTGCCACCACACCCAGTTTCCACACCATTCCTAAAGCTCCTGCTTCTGCCGGTGCCTCAGGAACAGCAGAGTGACCTCCTAGGCCACTGGTGGCAAGAATGCAGTGAGCGATGGCTCTGGGAGGGGGCGGACTGAAGGTTTGGACTGAGGTCTGATGCCTGCCTGTGAGAGGCTTGATGCAGCCCCTCTTTTGGGCAGTGCAGCTTTTGACGTTTTGTGGCCTTTGGAGGAACTGTCATGGCATCCGGAGTCCACGGGAGTCAAATCTGCTGTCAGTGACATGGTAAATAGGGTTACGGAAGACCACTGGGCATGAGGTGGGGGGCTTGCTGTGTATAAGTGAAGTTACCTGGTTTTTGCTAATCCTGATCCTGGGCTAATGTTTAACTGGAAGGCAGGTGGGGGGGGGCTTTCCCCCCACTGTTTCCTTGGTTACCGGAAGCTCCAGCCTTAGTCCCAGAAGTGGGCTCGAACAGGGCCCCTGCCTCACTCCCTCCTTTCTCCTCTTCCTTCACCACCTCCTCTCAGGGTGATGCTTTTAAAACTAAGTGTGGCATCCACCACCGGGCCTGGGGGACTTCTCCCCAACAGGGCACAGAGCCCTCAGGATTGCCCTGTGCCTTCTGCCACATCACCAGTATTGCTCAGAGACTTGGGAGACAGCACCTTATTGAAATATTGTGAGGGAATGTGTGAGAGGCAGTGTTGTTTCCCATGGTCTTCTCTGGGCCAGGCCCCCAGAGTCCCAGAGATGTGGGGACACGCGTGTCTTTCCGTGGCCTCGCAGGCACGGTGGTGTGTGTCCGCGACATGAGACAGTGGCCCGGCCACAGCCACCTCTGACCCTCCCAGCTCTCCACAGCATAGGGAAATGGAGGAACACCGCCCCGGGGCCATTCTCGTGAGGCCCCACACTCAGTCTGAGGCCCTGCTGCCACCATCTTGAAATTCTTAGTCACTGATGAACAAGGGTCTCCTTGTCTTTACTGGGGCCCAGAAATGGTGTCGCTGGCCCTGCGTCTTCTGGTAGAGCTTTAGCGGGGGTTGCATGGGACATGTGCAGAGGAGGCCCATGCATGCATCTGTTTCCCTCCCTCCTTCCGTCTCTTCATCCTTTCCTTCTTCCCTTTCCCAAACGTCCATCAAGCAGTCACTTTGGAACACGCCCTGCCATGGGCACCAGATTCAGCACTGCTCTAGACAGATACAATTTCTGCCTTCTTGACCTCCCAAGAAGGGTAGAGAAGAGAAAATAACTGGAAGAAAACACTGTTGGTGATAGTGGTCACCAATAAGGGACAACACCTGAGAAAAGGAACAGTTTGAATGGGGGCCAGGGAAGGTATCCGTGGGACATTTCATGGGAGACCTTACTGAAGGGAGGGAGTGAGCCATGTGGGTAATTTGGGAGGAGTATCCAGGCAGCAGGACTAGTAGGTGCAAAGGCCCTGGGGTGGGAATATGCTCATCATGGCAGAGGAGGCCACTTTACTGGAGCTGGCAGCACTGGGGTGAGGGTGAGGGGCTTCTTGTCTCAGGGGGCAAGTGGCAGCTTCCACACAGGGCCCTGTGCTGTTGGCACAAGCTGGCTCCACTCCCAGCTCTCTCCTTCCTCCTCCTGCATTACAAGAAGCTATTTTGGCACAGTGAGCTGTGCCTCTCCTCTCCCCAGGGGGCTAGTCTGGAAGAGGCTGGATGGTGGATGGAGGGGCTGTGGGCCTTTCTGGAAGCCTGGCCTTTCACCTAATCCTGGGCCCCCTCTCCATACCTTTGACAAACTCTGCAATCAAAAGGTAACCCCAAGCTAGGCATAGTGGTTCACACTTGGAATCCCAGTGCTCAGGGAGGCTGAGGCAGGAGAATCACAAGTTCAAGCCTAGCTTGGGCAACAT